TCATGAGATGCAGTACATAAGCACGGCAATTATTTTTCTCTATTGGGCTAGAATAAGCTATGGATATATTGCAATCTAAATGAGGGATAACATGTTCCAGTTCAGGCCCGAAGCGGATCACATGTATCCCTTTGGGCAGTTGGCCAAAGCGGATCTCACACATATTTAATCTGTGAGATCATATATTCATTAAAGCATACTATAGGACGACACCATTTCCAGAGGGTTGATTTCTGTCACTAAAACTTGTCATACAATGGATGTTAGAGCCGCCTTTTTCATCAATGAATCTTGCTCAGTTTTTAATGAACGGGAATCCCTCATCCCACATTATTCAGTTTAGGAAGGATGGATTTTTTTAAACGAGTGGTCCCTAAAAGGAAACTTTATTGACACTTGTCATTATAGTGTTTTATCCCTGTATATATGTCTTTCTTACAAATCACCACTATCGTTGTCATCATTGTTATAATTATTATCTTCGTCATCATCGTCATCATCATCATTATACTTATAGTTTGCATATCCTTTTAATTATTTGATCATTCTGCTTAAACAATGGTTAGACGGGATATCGTCATGCAATCATTACAAAATATAATATTTTAGTCCCAGTCCTGTAGAAAAGAACCAGATCATTATCATTATCATCTTCTTCCATGATCTTCATGATCATTATTATACTTATATTTTGCATATCCTTTTAATTATTTGACCATTCTGCTTAAAAAAGGGTTAGATGGGATATCGTCATGCAGTCATTAACTTGACAAAATAGAATACTTTAGTCCCAATCCTGTAGAAAAGTACGAGATCAGACCATTTGTGTGGTCAATCACAGACCGATGCAGCAGTCTATTTGAAAATTACTGGAAATTAAACATGGTGGCCTCCTGACTCACGACACATAACAACACTGTTAGAGAAATACCTTTATTGAAGTTTATGAGATCGATTTTTTTCTTTCTTAAATTAGTGTACTTTTCTAGGCAACTAAAATTAAACGGCTGCAATCCTATACAAACAATTACTCTTTAAAAAAAAAAGGGGGGGGGGAGGTGTCCGTCTTGTCCTACATATTTTCTATGATCGTAAGGGTATTATAACCCAAACACAGCCAACATCTAATTCTGTAGAACTTTGCAAGAATTATGAATTCGTCACGGATATCCTATCTATGAAATTTAAACGTTAGCAGTGTCCTAGAATTCAAATTATGCAAGGAGATCCGTTTACTTTCAAGACTTCACCGTCATACACTATTGAGTGACTGACTGCCTTTTTTTTCCTTCTTTGGTCATAACATACATAAAATGAGCTGTAAAGGGTACATGAGCATCTGGCCGATAACCCACTTCTTGTAATGGCCAAAGTTAAACTGATTGAATCTTTGCGCAGCATAAAACGTACACCGTTCGGTATAGCTATCACAGCGATCTGTGATAGCTGAGCTCCTTGATCAGACGGTAAACATTTATACTTCGCTCCCCAAATATTTTAACCAAAGGAAACTTGCAATCAGGTGCTGGGTATAATAAATAAAAATAGTAGTAACGAACAATAATAAAGGGCGGGGAAAAAAATCAACATTATCATTCCATCCAAAAACTTACCGCGTAAACGCCTCTGATATGAACAAGACTAGTAGACAAGAAATGTTTAGCGATTCCAAGAGAGGGGTAATATAAATCATGGAAACAAGGCATACATTGAAGCTAGTAAATCCAGGAAAAATATGCCCACATTTATCACGATCGAGTTGTACTAGTAGCAACTGCTGGTTCCTATGATCCGTCGGCGCTAACAGATCTGTTGAAACTACGTTTACTGCCCTCACACGAGACTGAGTACAATAATTATCGGTATTATTTTTTACATGATACCGATACTTATATATTTATACGCTTTCAACAAGAAACCTTCTTTATCAATTAAAAGTATGAAGAGATATCAATATTTAATTGATTACTCTTTATTTCCTATTAGTCATGTACAAAGAGGGCTCCGCAACAGGCAAATGGTGTTCACCATGTTTTAATGCAAATTCCTCAGTAAAATAATGTTTTGCTAAAACGATATCACCGACTGATTTTTGAAAAATCGGAACTCATAAAGGTCCACCAGTGATATGCAATTCAGAACAAATATTTTGGCTGAAAATGTTTGCCGGGTGTAGAAAACCCACTATGAACAATACAGTTTAATAACTAGGTTAAAGATACAATTAGAACTGGTAGTGAAAACGTATTGACAACAAAACTAATAGTTTATGGTCATAAAATGTTTGATGGATACTAAAATATCAAATGTAATCAATATTTTTCTATTATCCTCACACATTTTGAAGAATTCTGGTGTTATTACAACCCTCGTCTGATACCCTTTTCATGAGGAAACTTTTGAATGACTTGTTTGAATGTGAAAACGGTCCACATAAGACCACAGGGTTTCTGAAGTTGCTCCACAAGGTTCTAAATAACCAGCAACTCTAGAAAATCAAGAGGCCTGCTTTAGAAACTTCATTTCTTATAAATTTGCGAGAGAAGTCAACCCCTAACCCTACCTATGGCAACGGGCCTGTATTGTTTGTCCCTATGTTATGTCTAAGTTTTAGAACTGTCAAATTTGGAATATTATTTTCTGTCCAAATAATATGAGTTTGAAATAGAAGCCCTATAAATATGCATCTGCCTAAAATGATTTGTTATTATATTTTCATGATGTTCTTTTAACTGAAATAAGATGTCACGAAAAGTTCTCGGGACGAAAGCAATACCTTTATATGACTGTGGCACTTTTGCAATACCATTTAAAGCTTGCGACAGATATATAAGTCTGCTCATACAAAACAAAAATGAAATAAAAATATATAAACGCATTCCTTAACCTTTAATTTTTCGTTCTTATGATCCACCTCTCCTTAAATCTTTACTTCTCTCGCTCCTTTCTCTCATCATGCTCAACATCTCTCTTCTTGTAATAATATTATTGCTTCATTAGACCCTATTTTGCTCTTTCTGTCATCATGGCTGTTTTTTGCCTCTCCCTTATCCCCTTTGTCACTGTCTGTTTTATTTCTAAATGTCTTAAGTCTAAATGCAAGGCGTCTAAACAAAATACGGAAATAACAAATATATATATATACAGATAATGGGTTTGCTTTATTGTGCAACGCATCATCGTTTGAAAATTAAATACACAAATATACGCTTCGTTTATTGACACAGAAACAGGAAAATGCACTTATTTACATATGCATAATTATTACATACATTCATATATATATATATATAAGACATGTTAAGCCAACTATGTAACTTTATTTCCGAGTTTTTGCCCCCCCCCTCCCTCAAGGATAAAATGGCTAATGGGTGATCATAATTTTTTACAAACAAATAAATATAAATAAATGAATTGTTATCTATGTTGTACACACATTGTACACACATTCAAATATAAAACTATGAATATTAATTTACATTAAAATGTATGCGTTCATATGAAAGAAGAAAGAAAATCTCTGGTACCACTCGCCTAAAGAAAATAATGTGTTCATCCATTGTTTCTATAGTTACATGTTACCATAATGTTTTGTTTTTCTCCCACCTGGAATCGCCCATCTAGAATCCAACACAGATGTATGCATTACATACGGTGAACTAACATACATTAGATGTTGAAAATCAGTTACTGGCAAGAATCAAGGAATGCCACTTCAATAAATAAAGGAAGACATTAATTATTTGTACATTAAAACAAATATATAGTACCGATGGGTAGCATTTATGTCGATCGACCTCAAGGTAGTAATTAATAATGATGTGGAATAATGTACTTAATTAATATCTACAACACATATTGCTTATCACTAAAGTTTATAACGAAATTTGCTATCTATCACACCCTAAATTGAGTTTATTGAGTTAAGCAAAATCTTAAGATTTAAAATGCACTTACAATGTAGGCCTTCATGTCAGAATAAAAGAAGAATCGGGTACAAATTATAGACATTTGCATTATTGGTCTGACATCGCTAAGTCGATTTAGGTTTTCTCTAAAGATGAAGCTTGCAACCCCCCCCCCCCCCCCCCCGAAGCTTGTATTTCATTGGTATATGAATATATTCAGAACCTCAGTCATTTGGATTTTACACGTTTGAGTCCTAGGCCTGTATCAAATACTATTGCAAAACATATAACTTGCATACATCTGTTAATACATACATTTACATGTATTTACAGTAGTTATTCAGCCTATAAGGTATAGTGCAACAGTTGGTCAATGCTCCGTAAACAAATTGTAATTTGATGGTATTACATTATCTTTTGTTTACCTCATTTTAGATATTCTTTTCTACAATTATTGTTTACTTTCCCTTCAAATAATGAGACCGCATGTTTTCGAAGTCCGAAATTCACAATAGTATTGATTTAGAAACAATATCTTCTGCCCAATTCTTAGATGTATGATGTCGTTACTTATATATATTATATATATATATATATATTCATGTATATTTCATTTTTATGATTTTCTAAACTTCTAATAGCTACTGTGCATTGAGGCTAATATTTGAGTGTAACAAATCGACTATTATGACCTTTTGACATTTTGGAGAACGGGAAATATATCAAGTATGTGGTAATAACCATCAGTTGTCTATCTCTATGAAATATATGAGTCTCTTTCATTCGGGTCTCAATTGATCAAGACATGCACGTCTAGTCATAGCTAGTAAAATCCATGGTCTGATAAAGACTGTTCGGTAAATTAGTCCCAAGATAAAACTAAAAGGTTCTCGAGTTTTAATCATTGAACAGTCATCATCTGTACGCGATATACGTGTATAATGCAGTCATCAGCTTGTCTGTAGCTCATGTAAAGCTTTATTTAGCATGTTGCATGAAAAAGGCTTCGATGGGTCAATTATGCATCTGCGTTGCGCGTCCATGTCGTAGCCCTGGTAAATTTCCATTCAACATGCCCCTATCAACTCATTCGTAGCTCCCTCAAAGTTCAATGAAGCATTTTGGATAAGAATAACCTAAGATCCAAATGTTTAATCATGCATTCGCATTGTGCATCCATGATGAAGTTTCTCTGAAGTTAGAATCAACGTGTTCATTGAGTGACCTGTTAAGTTCGGAGCTTTTCATAATTACCATGCTGTTGTCAGCCAATTTGTAGCTCCTCTAAAATTGCATAACGCTAATGGCCTGGATCACGATATAATGTTCTCGTGTAATTGGGGATTGTTCTGGTACACACTTGTTCTAGACCCTCTGTAGCTCCTTTGAGGGTCTTTAGTGAATGATCTTAGATCAATATTTGTCATGTTACGTGGTTGTAAGCTATTGTATAGCACTTCTCTAAAAGGTTCCATTGCGCATGTTGCTAGATCGACCTACGTTTTGGTACACGTCATTTTCGTCGATGTCGTAGCCCCTCTGAACGGTACGGAAGTCCACGGGGTGGAGGATGAGAATGACAATGCCCTCTGCCTTCTTGATCATCTCCCATACCTACAAATGATAGGGGAAATAATTAACAATCTTTCCTCAACAGGACGCGCGATGGCATAGTTATAGACCTGTAAATTAGTAATCGGGAGGTCTTGGGTTCCAAAGTAAGCGGATGCGCTAGTAACCTTGGTAAGGCATTTGTCCTTATTACCAAGTCCATCAGAGACGACTTTAAGCCGTCGGTCCCCTGTTTGTTTACTAACAACCATATACATGCTTTTTTGGCAGTCAGGTGAAAACAAACCAATCAACAAATCATAATAAGAATTATTATAATTGTTATAACGGGGCATTTCACCGGCTGGTGAAGTTCACATAAGGCACAGTATTGAAGAAACTGATTGCGGTTGTAAAAGTTTGCAGGGAATTGTTATAGATGACAGCATTTTAGTGATTTTATCGATGCCATTTCAATGTTTGGTGATTTGTTGATATTTACTATTATATTACATATATTCATGAGATATTTCATCAGAAAGGTATTCGGTGCATTACTGTATAATTATTTTCAGAACGGCAAAGTATAAATGAACGGCCTGATGTGTAAAGTGAATTTTCCCCTAGAATTTTAGAAACCTTTCCTCATGACTGGAAACTTTATGGGAAGCCAAGGATTTTATCTTAAACATGTACATATCACACATTTTGTGAGCTTAAGCTATACGGATTGTCGAATTTACGGCATGATAATAATAATGATTATGATAATAGTAATACTAATTGATATAATGAAAATGACAATTGAGTCTTATTTACTCAGGGGCAGCCACGTCAGGATTAAAACAGTTCTGCCTGCATGGGGGCCTTACAATTACCATCACCCCAGCAATTGCCAGGTACCCATATACACTTAGCTGGAAAGTGGCAAATGTGGATTAATGTCTTGTTAACAGACGTTAAAAAAACCGATATACCGCAGAAAAAATATATATACAATTTTGTGCCGCCAAAACCCTTAATTGATCTGGTACAATTCTAGCTTTTTCAAAAAATGGCGGTTATTCTAGTTTTCTCACCTGTTCATTAATTGACATTATCTTGTACGTAACCAGAAATGACTCCCCAATATAACTTTCATCGAAATATATTTATGACCCTCCACTTCTTTTATATTTTGATGGGGGTTACTCGATGGTAAACTGGAGACGATTCTTCCGGATCTGACTTACCTGTTCCGTAGATGCATCGGGGTGGACGCAGTCAAAGTTGACCTCAGTGATGACGTAGTTGCATCTCAAGCCCGCACTGTTCAGACAAGTCGTATCGTTAGACTGTAGAGATCCTCTGCGATGAGCCAGACCGTCTTGAGATACACGCTCAATCTGAAACGAGGATTTTTGACATCAAATGTTGGTTAATTTGTCTGTGGAATATGTGCAGGGGTCTCACCAATCACAACTTTTGTCCGTAAAATTCTTGAAAGCAAGTCTACATTTTTTTCTGGAGACTTGTTATGCCTGTCGGAAAGTCCCCTTTTCTATTTGTATGATAATAATCATGGGATAAATGGGGTTGGTGCTTGAGGAGGAGGGGCTTTCATTTTATTTGATAGGTGATATATGTTATGTACATAAGCTACATATACCGTCGCATTACTTTTAACGTTTTGTAGATGTTGCTGATATTCGATTTCATTTGTATACTGGCTCCAAACAATTTTCTAGATTTTCCCGAAATTCTTATTGACGTAATTAAAAAGAAAAAAAAACATCGAATTAAAAAGAAAGAGACAAGGATAAGATTTACAAGAGGGGGAGTGATGGAAGATAAATAAGGAATTTATTTTATTTGGCCTAATGTTTCAGCCAACAGACTCAATAGTCCTGCCATATCTTACCTCATTTCCTTGGAGTTTCAACCCTATGTCGTCAACATTATCTGAATTCCATTGGAAGTCACAGATTGTTCCAAACGGGATTCTCTTTAGCGTGATCTCGATCTGAAAAAGAGGAAAAAAAACAACATTAGAACATTGTGTTACTTTTTACCTTATATCGTTTGGCCTTTGGATGGGCATCGATCCGCAAGTTACCTTCGCCGAGTTCTGCTTAGACTATCCAATTTTGTTCTTCTTCGATCCCATGTTGTTTTTTGGTGTCTTTTAGGTAATTTTCGAGAAATTAAATTAAAAGATTTAACAGGATTCTTGCATTGATATAACATTAAATCCATTCATTAAAATTACAAAATTGCATAACACTTCTGCCGGAAATTCGTGCCATTAGTGCATAATGTCACCAAATTCATTCAAAGGTATTAGGCAAATGAGTCAGTATCTATGACACGATTTCTCAGACGTCCAATAATCAAAAGTAATTGTGTTGACGAACGATGTATCAATATGTAATATTGTATTTGTATTTTCCTCATCCTAGAGAAATTTGAATGATTTAGCATAATACATTACCTCTGGTTTGTCTGACATTCGAACACAGTCTCGGGCAAAGTGGACGTTTTTCAGCATAGTATCATTAACCTTCAACCACTGGTCGCCTACCCGGAAGTAATCTTTGAGTTCGCGAGGAACATCCATAACTCTGTAATATGGGTGCGGGAAAAAAATGTATTTCAGTTGAAAGACATAGAAGCCTAATTCTTTTAACTGAAAAGACAGGATATAAAACTGAAAGGGGAAAGGGAGAAATCAAGAAAAGCGAGAAAGGCTAAAGGTAATTTCCCCCATCACCACCACCATTATAAACAAAATAAAAAGGAGAAACAACACATGGGTATGAAAAAGAGTGATTATATAAGTACTCACAAAATACTGTCACTGGTTTCCTTGAGCAGTAGCTGAGACAAGTACCGAACGAGGGTAGTTTTGGCGACAAGTACGACAGCCGTTCCCGATAGCTTCTCCCCTTTAAGTTTCCTTTGAAAAGAAATTGGATGAATTTAGATAAGTGATAATACTTGGAAACCTCTAATGCAATTAAGACAGTCGGATACCGATCTTTGTTATATTTTCCTTAAATGCATAATAAACAAAATACTTTCCACTACTTCTTAATTATTTGATGGTAATGTTGATTAAGTATATAAGGAATAATATTGCTTTAAGCGCACTATACTACAGAAATTCTCCGAACGTAATAGTCAATGTACAAAAATCCTTCTTTATTCATTTAAAAATAATTTTAAATTATATCAATTAGATAAGGAAGCAATATTATTTTTTATTCAAATCGGAAGTGACGAAGCATCTCCAAGATTTTAGACTTCACATATTGAACACGTTTATGAAAGTTTGTCTTATCGATATCCTGCGAAACTTAACGACTTGTTTGACTATCTATCCGTATTGTTTTGGTAACAGATTTTAAGCTTGTTTGAATCATAAATACCTTTTCCATGTTAATGCGGAAGAAATTAAGTTCAAAATTCTCAACGTGATTATTTCATGTTCAGTTAAACTAAATCACTTGTTGTCACATCTCCTTTGGCTATTACCTGCATTTTGTTTCCATCTTCGTGGCTGGAGTTTTCTCCTGTAGCTTCAGAGGGACTGACTTAGCCGTTAACGACGACATACTTGTTTTACGCGGTGGAAGAGGGGGTTTAGCGTCATTCCGTACAGCGGCTGACCGTGGTGGTGTTGTGGTTCTAGAGTCAGTTCTGGGCCGTCTCTGAATAACGGACGTATTTTCATAGATATTTTCATCCAGGCACAAACCTGCCTCGGGTTCCTTTATGTCTAGAAGTCTTCCTCCTGGCATTTCTCCTGTAAATGTTTTTGAGCATTCGGGCTCTGACTCATCTGACGGTGTAGGACTAGGTGGCCAACTGCTCTCTGTTGGTACTTTACAGATGTGAAGACTCGTGAGAGCACCTCCTTCGGATTCTTCAGACGAAGTATTGCAGCCAGAGAGACGGTTATCGAATACGGGCGAGGGATCTATGCGACGTTCTGGAATCTCGTACTCGTTCTCTGAATGGTCAGCCCTTTCCTGAAGACGAATTTCGATAAGACCATCGGTGATATTGTAATCGTGTTAACTTTACCGGGTGTTCTCATACATCTTCCAATAAAGGTAATACAAAGTTTTGGGAAATTTTGAAAATTGGGTGGATAGTGATTCTTTACAATTTTGATATATTTGGATGCCCCTGTTGATGTATTATAAGCACTAGAAAATGTAGCCTCTAAATCACTTCTGCTTTCGAGATGAATTGAATATAAAAATTTACCGGTGCTCCCGGTAAATTTTGATAAATTTCAAATAGCGCCTACGTCCGTACAATAGTAGCTGCGACTATGAAAATCTCTGAATATGTAGTTATGATATATAATTCCCAAACGGGAATAGCTAGTCGGCCGATTTTAGTCAAGAAACATTGTTTTATAGCTTAATTAATATCTTGACCTTGAGAGGGAGCTATACAGCATAAAGAGTTAATTATTTATAATTTCATAACTTTAGACTCGATTTCAACCGCGACAACGATTACTGAATATTGTAGGATCGCATATGCTTCCAATATGATGTTCATTTGAACCCAATTCATGACCCCATACCAAAACTGTGTATTACCTTTAATCTTTAATAAAGCTTGATTTTTAAATGCGTTTGCTGTCTGCACTCTTTAAGTCTGATGGCCTGTTTCTAAGCACACATGGCCCCGTCTTTAATATAAAGAGTTGATTATAATCAAAATTATGTACATGAGAGATAGGAGATTACAAACTTACATTTGATTGGAGGAATTACGATTGATTTGGATCAATCGCAACTCTTTATAGACGGGACCCAAGATATCACATATTGTACGATTAGCACAATACAATATGATTACACTAAACTTTATCTAATTGAAAATACAACTGTATGTCGATTCAATCCGTCCCCAAGCTGCAAGAAGGCCATAGGCAACTACATATTGACAATGGCAGTAACGGCCTTATTGCGGGGAACCGCCGATTTATCAACCCCTTATTAGTTTACTACCGTTTGTAACATGTCTTGACATGTCTTAAAATGTCTTAACCCATTGCTTACTGGAACCGGGTGGCCCCTGTATTAAACCTACGGCAATGAATAAATTCAGTAGTCAACGGGATAACATGAATTGACGATATAATGAAAAAGGTACTGACCTGAAGCGTCTTTGTATGATGGAAATATTGGTACAGTTCTTGTGTCTTTTGGAGGGCCTGTCTGGAGGTTTGCTGGTGCATAGGACAATCATCCGCATGGTGAACGTTCTCGTCTGTATCTTGACAGCGGGCTGTGTGTGAGGTAATAAAAAATTACCAAATAATAATTGTATATTATTATTATTATGTGACATAACAATGTCAACAACAACATATTTGAAAACTATAAGACTTTTGAAATATACCAGATGTCCGTGTTTTCTAAAAGACAATAGTTACATTTATTTGGACTTATGCTGGAAACCGGCGCCATACCATACACTAAATCAATTTAGCGCTTACAATATTATTATTACCCCGGTCACTGGATTAATATTAAATTGAGTATATTGCAGTGCACATTCTCCACAGTCTGCATGAAGAACAGTCCAGCTGGTCGCCTTTTCACGAGCGCGCACAGAGTTATCTAATCCGAATGACCTGCGCATCCTTCCGGGTACCCATTTAGCACTTCGATGGAGAGGGACAATGTCGATACGATACATTGCTCAAGGACATAAGTTCCTTGGCAGCGCTCGAACCTGCGACCTTTGTATTCTAGTCAAGTGACCGAACCACTCGACTACAACACATCGATATCAATGACTTTGTTCTCTACACATTTCTGAGCTATTTACCGTCGTGTGACGCGCCAGCCCCCAAGTGATGACGTCCACTGCAGACTGGGCTGTCGTCAGTCTCCTCAATAGGTTGTTGTGGATTGACCCTCTTCTGTAAGATATAATGAAAAGAGAAAATATACACTAAACAGATTTAGCTAACAACAACCAAACTTATCAATTAAATAAAATGAATAGTGTGGAATACAATAGCTATATACAAGAAAAAGAATACCTATCTTGTTTTAAAGGATGTGGAAGATCAGGAAGATACATTTCATTTTGTTTATCAAAGGTTTCCTATCTAATGTAATGCGACAGAACGAAGACATTAGGCCTTAGATATTTCTTCCCTTGCACGTTCTTGCCTATGACAGAAGGCATCTTCACCTATAGCAGTCGACATTTTCCATGATTTAATGACAGAAGGACTAACCTGAAAAACTTTGTCTAGCTCATCATGAAAAATCCCCTGCATGCTGCCAGGTGCTGTGATATGGGCTCCTTTCCGAGTACGAGACACGGACGGTTTGTTGGAGGAAGCATCTGTATGTGTTCTCTCTCGATAGGGCTGCGATGGCTGTTGAGAAGTCAGCTGAAAATTGGATGCTGTTCTGTTGGGCATCAAGGCCCGTAGTTTGATGCACCACTCATCCCTCTGCTCTCTGCGTAAATCAGTAGAACGGTTGGAAAAAATGTTCTTTTTATATCATTCTCAGTCTCGAACACCTTGAATATCCATGGTGCGAATGACGATTTATTATTCAATACTGGTTGTTGATTATTTTCCTTCAAAACAAAAAATTTAAATACTTCTGTTTAAACGCTCCTTATGGGAATCGACAAATTAATTGCTCTGCTACCGTGACAATCACCACTACTTCTGTAACTTCTCATATCTCTCATCCTAATTTCCAAATAAATCTATTTTCTTTTTCAAATCAGAATTACCGCTGCAAGTGCTAGATTGTATACTTCTACTGTTCACTGCTTTGAACCATACATTATATGTTATATATTTCACCTTTCTCTGATTTTTATTTTGCTTACCTTGTATCTGTGCGTAGGTATGTAGGTTTAGTCCCGCTACCACTACCGGTGATGCAGATGTAGTTGTCGTACTTTGCCTTGACGATCTTTGGGACAAGGTCGCCCTTTTGCACGACTGCGAAGGATTTTACTTTGACGATAGAATTTGGTTTTTCGGATCCATCGGTGAATATTTGAATCTCTGGACGCTCCCCAATGCCAGGTGAAGCTACCTTGCAGATCACCAGTTGTTCTTTGTCCTGCAATGTACGTAAGTTACCCATTTGATGTTTTTTAATCGTCATCACCACGAACACGTTTGATCGATTTAACTTTTTCAATAGTGATTAAAAAATCACAAAAGCTTTGTTGTTAGATATTTTTTTGTCTTCAATCATTAAACCATGAAAAGCTTCAACTGTATAACTTTTTTTAAATTTACTAGTAAAAAAAGTCAAGTCAATCATTTTTGTTCTATTGTAAACGTTCATGAAAATGCTTGAATGAATACAAATAGCAAAAGGAATGTTCCTTTAATCAAATCACAGGAGTATTATTAAATCCGATGATTCATATTGTACAAAGTGTAGTGTTTCAACTAGTAAATCAACAATATCTCCTTGGTGGTATTTACTTGAAATTCAGGGGCCAGTTTCTCGAAACCGGCATAAGTCTAGATTCGTAGACATCACGTAGAAGAGCGTGTTTAACACACGTTTCAATGAGATGTCCAAGAAGTTAAGACGTACATGTATGATGGTTTCGAGAAACATCCCCCAGTATGCTCCAATACCAACCCTCCATAACATTAAATGGCTCGACATGTATTTATTATGAAAATAACCCTACTAAATTGCGTTAAAAACAAGGAACAGATAATTTCCATCTGTTTCTGATCAAAGTTCTCTTTCAGGGTATCAATATATTTAGCATTTATTGATTTGATATTGATGTGATAAGAAAATGCAATGACTTATTATATTTGACGACGTCTGGACATCTCTTACCTTTAGAAACCCCCCTGCCTTGTGCAAAAACATGTGTGATTCTTTTGTCCCAGACATGGTTCTGAAAGACAAAAACATTTCGATACTTCTTCATTATCTGTAATTATTATACTTTTTGACGGAATATAATCTATTTCTTTTTACATTAAAGGGGTCTTGATATAGAGAACATTCCAATTATTTAATTTGTTTGACGTTCCATAAAGTCGTCTCCTACCACGAGAAGGCCGTGTCAGTTATGTTCGTCAATGGCACTAACCGCCTTATTTCGGGCTGCATTTCTACCATACGGTCACCGTGAAGGCATATAGCAATTACTAACACAAAGGCTTTCGTCATCCTACCAGGTTCTGATTTCTCTCCTGGATATATAGCGGCAAATGTAGATTAATGCCTTGCAAAAGGATATGTATATAACATCTTCTTAGCCGGGTCAGAGCGTTTCCGAGAGGCTAATAACACTCATGTTTCTTGCATGGTGTCCATTCCATTTTACAATAGGCTAAGTATCCGAGTTGCGAATTTTACCATTCATGTTTGATAAACAGATATTATTGAATATGCATGTCTATACAAATAGACTCAAAGATAAATGTAATTAAAAAATTCGATGACATCGTAATTTGTGACAAATTTCTATTTACCTGAAGAAGCCCAATAGGCGAAAAAATTTGTGACACCTTTACATTGTTAACCGCGCGTTTTGTCAATTTTGTTTTGAGTCTCTTTAAAACTTTTTACTCCGCTGCAGAACATGTTCTTCTTTATCTATATATAGGTAGTCATTATTGCGCAATCAAAGGTTAAAAAACCCCAACAATTCTATTGTTTGAATA